ATGCCAGGCGAGTGGGTGTGCCTATGCAAACAAGATCAGCCCCTGGAGTTCTTTTCCACCCTCGCCATAATTCACCACCAGATGTCAGGGTAGAGCTCATCCTGACTCTGCTTACATTTATATTATGGTAACACCTAAAATCCACAAAGGCCTCATTGCCCCAGGCACTGTCAAAACACAAATTGAGAGAGGCCCTGCCATATCTCGAGTTTACAGTCTAGATAGCCCAGACGAGTGGGAGGGGAAACAGATGATAGAGAGGTGAAGGAACTTGCCCAAGTCACACAGTAGATCTGTTGCAGAAACAAAAAGAGAACCCCAGTCTTTTAAGTCCTAGTGCAGCACCATAAACACTAGACAACATTGTCTTTCCCTGTGGGGAAGTTCAGACCTGCAGCTCCTGTACAGCCCCCTCTCAATGGTACTTTCCCTCTTCTGTTGGTTCCTGTGATAATGAGGGTGAGTTTCAGCTCAAGTGTCTGTTTCCATTCTAATCTCTGGGCAGAGGTTTTAGGGGGGTTGTCACAGGGAGAGCTAGAGGAGAATCAGATACTGTCCTGCCAGTTACATAAAGAGACACACCCACCAGGAGGGAGCTGCTTAAGACTTCAAAATCCAGTGTAACAGCTGAGTAGCTAATTAATTATTCAATAACACAGATTTTGTCTTTCAGCCAATTTATAAAGCACTGGTATTAGGGGTGTGAAATACCGATAAACCCTACTCGAACCTGATTCGCACACACTGTCCGATCCACTCACCTCAGCTTTCTCTCCATAGGAACTAAAGGGAAACCACCTCAGACCCTGTTTACCGAATGCCCGAACTCTACAAGCTGCACAGGTATCTCTGCTTCTCAGGGTCTCCCTCTTGGTCCCTAAGAACTTTCCCAGCTGTCCCAGTAACATGTGAGGTTTCTGCATTTCCAGACAGGGAGAAGTTACGTGTCGTGGAAGGAGAGGACGGATGCTCGGGGAGAGTGGAGGTTTGGTACCGTGGCTCCTGGGGAACAGTTTGTGATGACTCCTGGGACATGGCGGATGCTAACGTTGTGTGTAAACAACTGGGCTGTGGATCTGCTGTATCTGCCACGGGCGAGGCTGCATTTGGCGAGGGGACTGGTCCCATCTGGGTGGAGAAGATGAACTGCAAAGGGACAGAGTCATCTCTCTGGGACTGTCCTGCCAAGCCCTGGGGTGAGAGCAACTGTGGTCATAAGGAAGATGCTGCTGTGAATTGCTCAGGTGAGTGACAGGAGATGTTTCTGTTACATGCTGTAATTTTCGGGAGGAGGATGGATGAGCCCACCCACCCCCGCCTTGCTCACAGACTGGGCCCCCCCATCTCCTGTGTGAAAGAGCATCATGGATGCTGTGGGGTGGAATCTTTATTGAGTTAGATTGGGTAAGACATCAGCCGACATAACCCCTGCATCCCTCACAGGCCCCAGTGTGCTGGTTTGTTACTAGAGTCCTCATTGCTGCACAGAGTACAAGGGACTTGGGCCCTAAATCACTAACAGTTGGCCCGGCAGCGGCCGTGGGTTTTAGTGGGGGCCTGGCACCTCGCTTCCCCCCCCCCTTTCCT